TAGGATGCAGGCACATCATTATTTTTATGGATCTATTTATGTATGTAGAAATATTTCCCAAGCGTGTTTTACTTGAGGAGGGGCTGGGAGGCTAAATCCGTCCAGGAGAGTGAGAGGAGGAGGTAGGGCCAGGCGTAGTTTGGGAAAGGACCACAGACCTTCTCAGAAGGTGGCTGGAGCTCCTCAGGGAAAACCAACCCCCCAGCGAGTTCCTGTATCTTCGAGCCTTGCAGCAAGTCCCATTTCACAAGGCTCTGCCAAAGGGTCTGGGTGCAAGACCAGAGGCTCTGCTTCAATTTTCAGCCTGATTTTCCAGGAATAAAAACAACCTAAAGAAAAATCACACCTTTCTCCAGAGCGCAGGAATCTTTAGCTCCAGATCTAATGCAACGAGGGATGCTACCACCACGAGCCTCTTTAAATCCTAATCAGTATATACCACCTAAATTTTTAAGTTGAGAGATTTCTTGATGCATTTGCTCTGGGTCTCAGAGGTGGTCTCAGAATGGGGCAAATAACTGATTTTCCGGCTCACCAAGGTGACCGTGTATTGTCACCTATATTTTGCTTTGTGAGGTCTTGGGCTCTTGGAGCCAGGTGATTCATGCGGGAATTGCAGCTTTCAAGACTTTCCAGATCCCTCTCTATTATTTATGGTGTTTATAGGTGCTTTGGAGCCTGGTCGTGCTTTCAGTTCCCCTCTGCCTTGATGCAACTCAACTGCCTCCCCCCCAGAGCTGGCCCCTGCTCTCCAGCCAGCTCCATGCCTTCCTGCCCCAGCAGCACACACACACTGCCAAGGCGAAGAGGGGAGATCGCTCTCCCGGTGGCAGCTCTCTCCCCCCATCATTTCAGCGTTTATTCCCCAGTGTGCTCCTTGCAATCTTAAAAGGAGACTGCACGGGCAAAGAAGACATTTCCACAGCAAACACATTCCAAGAGGAAAACCACCACCGCCCCGCTCACAGCTCTGCCTGGATCCTGAGGACACCGATAAACGGCTGCTGGCCCGTCAGTATTCGAAGTATTTATCTCGATGTGCAGAAACGCAGCCTCTAAATGTTGCTGAGGCAGGTGGCTTTGCTGGAAAGGGCTAGACCTGAAAATCAGGACGCCGGGGTTTCAAGCCCGGCTTTCTCACTCTGTGATCTCCTACAGGTCTTTTTTTTTTTTCTTACTGGCCCTTTGCTTTCCCTGATGCTCATTATTATCCCCGTGTGACGGTTGAATGATGATTTCAATGCAAAATAATTATTAAGGATGCTGGCATTTCCATTGCAGACCAGCCCCAAAGCGTTTGTGTCCACTTCTACACCTTAGAGACCGTCAAATCATTTCTAAGCAAAGAGCAGAGCAATGCTGTTATTAAGCATTAACACGATTCAGCATTTAAATAGCATCACCCTTGTTTACAGGCTCACGGGTGACAAGGTCACTGTGACCACCCAGCTCAGCACAGCGGCCACCGAGGGCTGGAGGAGCGCTTCAAGCCGAAGTGGTGGGATGGCAGCAAGGGACATGGAGCCATCCCCAAAGCTCAATTCAGTCTCATCGGGGATTTTGCTCCAAAGCTGGGTCAGGTTACTGGGGGAAGCAAAAGCCTCGTTGCCCCAGGGCAGGAGAAGGAAACACCATCAGCCTCAGGCCAGCAGAGTAATCCCTCGCCTTTAAAGAGAGCACAAGCAGATGGTGGGTTAGATAAGAGAAATCCTTGAAAGCCCTGTCTGAAACACCTGGATGGAGACATCAGATTGCGCTAGAAAGGGGTGAGGCTTTGCACTAATCCCACCACTTTCCCTACCGCCAAGGCAAGAACCAACCCCAGGAACTGAGGATGAGGAGGATAAAATTTGCTACTTCTTGCTGTACTTTTAATTCCCAGCGCATATTATTTTTTTCCCCATCAATGGCTTGCTGCACACTTCCAAAGCTGAGCCAGCAAGAAACACCTTTTCTCTTAAAAACAAGCTAAACCAAACTTTCTCCTCTGGCCATCTAATCCCAACTAACCACAGATTCCAGCAGAAGCAGTTGGCTCCTGTTACTATTATTATCCCCGCTTGTATTATTGTGCTGGTTTTAAGGTCCTCGGGTTGAAAGCCAGGTGAGGGGGGAAAACCCCAAAAACCTGGCTGGTCTGGGTCTCAGCGGCGTTTGTAGTCTGAATTTGGCCGCCTGCGATGCCATCTGCCAGGCTTTGAGGTCCAAGGCAGGGTTGACTTTCCTCAGGAGTCTGGGCTGCCGCGGAAATGACAAATTAAGAGCAGCCCCGCGCAGGCTCAGAAAAGGAAATCAGCAAAGTGGGGACGACAGGGACTGACACACGTATTCAGTTAATAACACACACGCCTCCATGGGTGAGGCAGAGCCTCGGGAGGGCCCTGGGCGAGGATGAGGCACCAGCCGCCTTCCTCCCACCCGGGCACCCTGCACTGCAACCCACTGGTGGGCTTGGGTCGCCCCCTTCCAGCACATCGTCCCCAAGCCACGTGGCCCTGCGAGTGAGCGGTAGACGTGGGTGGGTTTTGGTTGTGGTGTTTGTCTGCCAGTGCCAGCGAGGAGGAGGGGGAAGGAGACAGCTCAACCTGTCCTCCTTGCAAAAAGCCTCCTCGTCTTCTTTCCTCCAAAAGCCCAGGGGTGAAACAAGGCGTGCGTGACCCCACCACGTAGGTGTTCGTCTGTCAGCAGGGCCCTGCGTAACGCCTGCTCAACACCTTGCCCAATTCAATTAAATTTGACGCATCAAAAGCACTTTCAGTTCATACAAGCTCCTTGGAGGGCATGCAGCCGGGCAGAGGGAAAAAAAAAGCCTTCCCAACGCCTGCTCAGCACCGCCAGGCGTCAGAGAAGCCAAGCGGGAATGCCCCAGTGAGGAAAGTCTAGCAAACAGCCTCGGGAAAAGGGGGGTTGCACGGCAGGTTGTTAGAGAAACATCTTGTTTCTCTCCGGAAGTTTTCCCCATAGTTTCCAGCCTTATTTGATTAAGTCTCCCAGCCAGCCAGAGGATTTTGCTGGGAGGTTATTATCCACAGTTGGGAACCTGGGAGAGCGTCTTTTGGCTCGACGCTGCTTTTTAGCTGAAGCGAGGCGTGTGGCGGTGGAGCTGCCAGCAAAACGCGGCCACCTCCGAGGGAGATCCGTGGCGGGCGCGTTACGAAAGGGTTTGGAAGATGGGAACAAGGCGCTTTTCATCCAGCTGGTGCCACAGACAGAGCTGAAGGGAAATGGCAAGCAATTACTCCAACTGGAATCTGGCCAGGGTGTCTTGAAATACCAGCTTGCAAAACTTTCACCAAAACACGCCAACGGACCAGGTGTTTCTAGGATAACAGATCTGGTCTTTAGCTCCGCAGCCTTCCCCAGGATCAGCAGAATCAGGAGAAAACCATTATCAGGAATTAACGCTGTAACGGACCTTTGGTCCCTCGAGACTCCCTGGGTCCATTTGCTGAGCTCGGGACTTTGGGTACGTCTGGAGGAGAAAAGCTCATTTATTTTCAGCTCTGGAGGAAGAAGTCCTCTCTTCTTGCTCTGAAGGTGCGTCCCTCCTAGCTTTTGACCCCACAGCATGTGTGCAGCTCTGACTGCACCCAGCAGAAGGCAGCAGTGAATGCAACTTTTTAGTGCTTTTTCAGTTTAAAGAGGGATTTAAACGATTTTACCAACCTCCTGCACGCAGAGCTTTGCTCACTGCGCGCAGGAGTGCGACTGCTTCTGCAAAGGTGCGTGGCAGCCACGGATATCCCCAGCCCAGGCTCTCTGCGTTAGGCACGGAGAGATGGCATCGCTTGAGAAAGGCAAGGTGCAATCAACCAAGCAAGGAGAGCAGACCTGGCACCCAAACACATTTAAAAAAAAAAATAATAATCCTGGCACAAGGCTTCAAGGACTACGAAGGAACCAAGAATTCATTGTTAAGTGTCACTAGAGCCTTTTTCCGCCCCAAAACCTCAATCCCCAACAGCTCTGTGCTGCAGAGCCCTGAGAGCCTCCCGCTCCACTCCCTGCCAGCCGAGGACTTGCAGCTGAGCAGATTTAGGATGGAGGGCAGTGCCGTGGGTACATGAAGAGAGACAGGTAAACGTGACCTGCGTCCGTGCAAAGCCTGTGGCTTTATGCTGGCATTCCCAAGAGCAAAATCATTGACTTTGTTGAGCAATAGCTGGAAAGGCAAAAAGAAAAGAAAAAGGCCCAAGATGACAGGGGCAGGATACACCCTCCCTGGCTACAGCGAGCGAGCACCCCCTGACTGCCAACCCGCACGCTGGCAAAACCCGCATCCGGTGCTCTGTAAGGAGCAGCAAAGCAGAAAGGCAGCAAAGAGGTCCACAGTCCGGTTCTGCAGCAATCAGCCCTCTTTATCTGAGCTACGCCGTCCCGCTCAGCCTCCATCCAGGCATCGTGAGGAAGCCCCGGCTTGTCTACGGCTCCCAAACCCTGCCCTGCTCCTGGGACAAGCGCAGGCCACTTTTTTTCCTGGAGTTGAGCTGTCTCGACAGCCTAGGAGCAGCTCCAGGTGCTTTACTGTGCGTTGCGTTTCGACATCCCGTGTAAATTGAACGCGCTGGGAGCCCTGCCCCGGGAGAGCTCCTCCAGCCCGACACCGGCAACGAGACTTTTCAAACACAAACATAGTCCTCTCCAGCCTGCAAGGAAGGGGATATTAACACTGCACCTCTGCTAATGAAACACCCAGAACCCGGCGAGAGGTAGTAAAAGGGAAAAGCAGAGGAGGGAGCACGGCATCATTATGCAACCGTGTTATCTAACGACCACGGAGACACCCTATAGGGGCTCTTTGTTTGCAGAGGGAAGGAGAAAGAAATGCCACCAATATCTGAGTCACTGGTTCACCAAGAGGCTCCGAAGTTATTTTCAGATGGAAACTTTTCCAGTTTCACATGATAATTTGGGAGGACTGGCTAATTCCCTGGCTCCACCCACCGCCTTGTAACACAGCTCCCTGCTGCGCTGGCATATATAGATAGGTATGGCCCTACAACTGGGTGCAGACAGAAGAGCCTGGAGACAGAGGAAACTTAACTTTCTTCCTTCCTAACTGCCCTTCACCCGCTCCCACCATGAAGAGGGAAGTATTAACCTTGGCCTTTGCTCGATCCGTCTTTGTGGAGTTTATCTCCACGCTCATCTTCGTCTTCATCGGCCTCGGCTCAGCCCTGAAGTGGCCATCCGCCCTCCCCAGCATCCTTCAGATCGCGCTGGCGTTTGGCCTGGCCATCGGTACCTTGGTGCAGGCGTTTGGCCACATCAGCGGCGCCCACATCAACCCGGCAGTGACCATCGCCTTCTTCGTCGGGAACCAGATCTCCTTCCTCCGTACCCTCTTCTACGTGATCGCCCAACTGGTCGGGGCCATCGCCGGGGCTGGCATCCTCTACGGCGTGACGCCGGCCAATACCCGCGGCAACCTGGCCATCAACGCAGTAAGTCTCCCTGCCCGGAGGTGGTTCACCTTGCCGCGCGGGCTTTCCTTTCCTTCTGAGCGAGGAGCTGGTGCCGCTGCCGGCCCGGAGAGCCAAATCCGTGAGGATGGTTGGTCCTGGCATATTGTCCTGCATGCACGGAGGGACGGGACTGGGATAGGAGCAAACATTGGCGGAGCCAGCAGAGTATTGACATGACAGCTTTATTGTGCGGGGTAATGAATGGCACCGGGTTTTTTCTCCTTTAATAAGTGCTTCCTTTATCCTAAGGGCCTGAGTGAGTCACCCCCACCATTGAGATGTTCTTGACAGCAGCCTCTCCACCTGGAGATTAGTGCTGGGATAGGAGCTGCGCCAGGACGGAGAGGGGGAGGGCAGGCAGCAGAGCCCAGTCAAACCAGTATGGGCAGGGGGAGCAGAAGCCCACTGTAACCAGTGCCCTGGGGAAACTGGGAAACGGAGGTGGAGAAGAGCCAAAGAAGGAGCAATTCACGGGAGGGTGCAGAGAGGCTGCGAGCGGCAGAGGCTGCTCTTGGAGGAGGAGAGGAGACAGTGAGACCCTCTGAGCTAAGGAGGGATGAGGAACGTGTCTCAAACCCTTGGGGCAGTGCTGGGAAACCACCTGAAACAGGAGCAGTGGAGCTACCGCTCCAACCACGGCCAGGTCTGGACCCCTTGGAGCAGCACAGACACATTGCAGAGGGTTCAATCACCAGGATGAGGTGCTGCAACGCGTCTTACTCCCACAGGCTCCACGTCCCAAACTTGTCAGCTTTAGCTACAAAACAAGCGGCGTTGGCTTGGGTCACTTTGCCGTTCCCATGCCCAGTGGGGTCAAGTCCATCTGACAGTCCCCAGTGGTTAGCACAGGGGCACTGGGACAGTAGCAGCCCATCTTACCCCCGTGACTACACCCCAGCCTTCATCCCAACCCTCACTCTTCTCCCCCTGCCCCTCCGTGGTGGCTTCTGGCGGCTCCCCAGCCTTTTGGGGAAGTGCTCCACAAAGAGGAAGAAAAAAGAGTCAGGATACGACAGCTTGCAAGGATCAAGGGGGAAATAAATGCAGGGAAAAAGGGACAAATCGGCATGTGGTTTGGTGGGAAAGAACTGAACATTGTGGAGACAAGTGGAGAGAGACGTGGAGAGCCCCGGGAAGGGAGGGGCTCGGGGGAGAAGTAGATTTTGGAGCATTAAACAGAAAGAAAAGTTCTTCCCTTTCAGGGAAAGGAGTAGTGAGCCCAAGCAGTGGCCAGCACAGCATCTTGTGCCCCAGGGCTGGGCAGGGGACCCGGGGAGGAGGGGTACTTCTCGTGCATGGCTTTGTGAACTCAAATCCACCAGCAAATCACCCAAGAGCCCTCCCGGTGATGCCAAGCCCCGGGAACGGTTAATTATTCTTGATCTTGATGATCCGCAGCTCAACAACAACACGACCCCGGGCCAGGCCCTCGTGGTGGAGATCATCCTCACCTTCCAGCTGGCCGCGTGCATCTTTGCGTCCACAGACAACCGGAGGAACGGCAACGTGGGCTCACCAGCACTGTCCATCGGCCTCTCTGTCGCTGTCGGCCACTTGGTGGGGGTGAGTGTCCAGGCAGGAGGACAGGGCAGAGGGTCCCACTAAGATGGGGCTCCCCAAAATACTTTCATGCGGTTCATCCCAGAAGAAGCCGCATTGGGAGAGCCAATACAGGGCATATTGGGGCTCCGTCTCCATGATGATGGGGGCACCTCCAGCTCTCTGCAAGAGAGACAGCGTCAGGGACCACTTCGGTCCCTGCTTCTGAGAAGGTGCTCCTATCTGCTAAGCAACATGATGCACCTTAACCCGGTCTCCTTTCCACACCCACAGATCTACTTCACCGGCTGCTCCATGAACCCAGCCCGGTCCTTTGGGCCCGCGGTCATCGTGAGGAGGTTCAGCCCAGCGCATTGGGTGAGCGTCGGCAGCATGTCGGGACGTGCTGCCAGGGCCAGACGCAAGCAACGAGGGGAGACGGCAGCGATTGCCGTGGGGATTGCAGGGCTGGCTGTTCCAGAGCCCATCCCAGGCCTGAAAGGATAAAAAGGGGCTGGAGAACGAGGGCGGTTATCCCTCTTGATGCATGGGAAACAGATTGTCCCCATGGCACAGAGCCAGCAAGGGGACAAGCGTAAACCCCCCATGCAGCGCTGCACACTGAGCTAGGGCATCATCTGAGGTCAACAAAGCCCACAGAGAAGCCCAGCTTAGGCTTTCCAGCGCTGCCTGCAAGCTTAGACCCAGCCTTGCAGAGCAGGCTTGGTGCCTCCTTTCCAGCACACCCCATCTCTGCACTCATAAAGAGCTTGATGTCTCCAGCAAGCAAAGGTTGAGGGGATTCCAGCCCAAGAAGTCTACCGGAATGGGTATCTGCATCTCTGCATGGGCTAGGAGATGTGGAGCTGTGAGGGAGGTTGGTGTGGTGGCTGGACCTGGTGCAGCACCCTCCAAGACTTGCTCTCACCCTCTCCCCTGTTGCTTTCTAGGTGTTCTGGGTTGGACCCATCCTCGGAGCTTGCTTGGCCGCCCTGCTCTACTTCTACATCCTCGTCCCCTACTGCATGAACATGTCAGATAGGGTTGCCATCATCAAGGGCACCTACGAGTCGGAGGAGGAGTGGGAAGAGCAGAGAGAGGAGAGGAAGAAGTCCATGGAGCTGACCCCACCATAGGAACGGCTGGAAAAAAAAAAAAAACAAGCAAAAGGAGGGGAGGAAGCCCCACACATGGGCTCATGTGTGCACCAAAGCTAGACAACGAACACATCCAGCTACAGTAGACTCTTAAGCAAAAGTCTCATAACTCAAAGACTCTCTGTGACAAGAAAGAAAGGAGTATTGCAGTGTCTGTGTGTATAATCCCTCTTTGTGACCGTGAGCGCTAGAACCTCTCCTAGCTTAACCGCAGCCAGCTAAGCCCAGCGAAGGAGTCTCAGCCCAGGGCAGCCTCTCAGCTGCAGTTTTACACCCCCTTGGCTGCATCCCTGCCCTCCTCGGTGCGAGATTTTCAGAGGCCCGAGACCACATGTTCTGGCACATGCAGGATTTCACCTCTGCGTCTGGTGGCCCAGGGGATGGAAACACCGTGTAGATGCCAACAAAGAAGAATGACGACTTTGGGCAAGTGGGTGCAGCAAAATCCCCCGCTTTCTCCCTGCCACAGGGCCCACACTGCTCATAGATGCTCTTTCACGCGTTCGCTGGTGCTGGTGAGTCCTATTTATTCCTGGCTGCAGAAAGAATGTGATTTTTGGAATTTGTGTTGACGTACTTGTAATATAGCGTATTATTTATTGTGAATAAAGGAAATTTTAAAAAAAAAAGTCACGGGCGCAAATCTGCTCGGGTATCAAATTTTATGAGCAAAAATGGGTTAAGCTGGATGCAAAGCCACCCTAAAGAGCCAGGACAAGAGCAAGGGCTTGGACCAGGGCGGTTTGAAGCCCGTCTCCAAGGCTGGCATGAACCAGGAGGAGCCAGCAGCAATCCTTCACGCGCTTTGCTGGTTTGACTCAGGCACAGCTTTCTGCCATACCAGTTCTCCCAGACGGCTCCACGGGTGCCCTCAAAAACTGACCCACAACGCTCTCCAGCCCCCTTGCCGGGTGCCAAACCCACACCTTCGCCCCGACCTTCTGCTGTAGCCCTGCTCTTCCAGTTCTGCCACAACCCTCTGCCAAAGCATCTCGCTCCTGACCCGGGCACGGGGACACTGCGTGTTGGCAGCCTCCCACAAAGCTCCGCCATCACAACCTCTCTTCTTACAGCAAAGATGAGGTTTCTGCTGAGCACGGACCCCCAAGGAGGTGGGGGACACTCATCTGGGGGCTCCCCGATGGAGCTCGAGCCCAACCAGACAGGTTACGCCGCCTTCACACAGCGGTGTCGGGGAGGACAGGCAGCATCACCTGTATTTTTCATGCCTAAACAGATTGACAATCCGGGCTGGGGCACTGTGGGAGCCTGGGTAGCAGCAGACCCTCGTCCCTCATTTTGCCTTGCCCCACCAGTTCCCGACAGAAGAGGCTGGTGACAAACAGGAGGGGAAAAGGAGGTGGGAAAGCCCTTAGTTCGGGTCAGCAGCAGAGCCAGGAAGCTAAAAACGCAACCGTGCACCCTGTCTTAACCCTCCCACCTCAGCCCTCCTCAGGGATAGGCAGAGACCTATGGCCCTTCTGTGCCTCAGTTTCCCTTTTTGTAAGGGGGAGGAATATTAAGCCACTTTCTCGTTGGGAAAGGGCAGCACAGTCACACATGGCATGGGAGATGCTTTACAGACACCAGCCCCAGGGAAACATTAGAGCAGCTCCAGATCCCAGAGACACCCCTCTCAGAGCGACCCACATGGAAACACGAGGCTGGGTCAGGTCAGCCTCCCCAAAAGCTGCGTCCCCCACTCCTTCCACTGCCCCCCTACACCCTGAAGATGCACCCAAACAGTGCTTTCAGCCCCCCTCATCCCAGAACAAGGGATCCTGGGCGTCCCCCTTGCTTTGCTGCTCTAAACCCCATCCCCCCTGGCACCGGAGAATCCCAACATACCCCACGCCCCGTCCCATAGCGGGAATCGGGGGCCACCGCAGCACCTCACGGAGGGGCCCAGCCCACACCAGCACGATCAACAACCGGGAGAAGAAACCCAGCCTGGGTGTGAGCCCTCCACGGGGATGAATCAGAGGATGCTGCGGCAGCAGCTTTGCGTCAGCACAAAGAGCACCCGGGGCCTGGCTCGAAAACACGGGCAGGACGGCCCCACGCAGGGCTGGGGTCGGTGGGAAGGGGGGTGCAAGCAGTTAACCCCCTTCCCCATCGCCCAGGCAGACCCTAGACCACGGGGTAAGTGCAGGCTGGAGCCCGGTGAGCACGCCGACGTCACGCATCCCTACACTGTGCGGAGGGCTGGCGCTCGGCGGGAGCCCTGGCACGCCTTCCCCCACCCAGCTTCTCGCTGGTCCGTGGGGCATTTAATCCGGGCAGAGAGGCTGCGTCTAATCCAGCCCAAACCCCCCGGCACCCAGCAAGCGCCGTGACCTCACCTTCACCAGGCCAGAGCCCAGGTCATGGCTGGGAAGCCCTGAGGTCCTCCTGCCTGTTCTCGCCTGCCCAGAAACAGCAACAGCAGCACTTAAAAACAAACGCAGAAACTCTTTTTTTTTCTTTTTTAAAACATTCAAGCTTCCCCAGCCCCATTTTTAAGGGGATTGTTACTGCCGACCGCCGGCCCTTCAACACTCCCTTCGCAGAAATAGCCATTTCACAGGAAAAATACCTTTATTTCAGCAGGCGCAGCGAGGGCTGATACGATCCCTGTGCATTCAAACCAGATTTACCTGTAGTGCACAATCATGCCGCCGCAGCTGCCCCGCACTCATTTTCCCATCTTCTCCCCCAAAACAGGAGTCTCCGTGTCAGCAGCAGCAGCAGCTCAGCACAGCCCCAGCCCACACACCCACGCCGCCGCCTGCCCTTCCTCGCGGCCGTGCAGACCCAGCACCGCTTTGCTTATGAAAAAAAGTGAACTCCATTGGTGCTTTCTGTTACCAGCTCCCCCCCCCTATTTTGGGGGCACATCACCAGGGGAAGCTCTTACACCGAAGTACCTCGGCGTGCCATTCTTGTGCCCATTTGCCGTAGTTAAGCAGGGGGGAATGGATGCAGTTATTTTCTAAACACGCCTACTAGTTACTTTGCACTACGAGGATTTCACAGACTATTTCTCAACCTTGAGTATCTTTTCCATTAGCAGGTAATTACGGCGCGGCTCTAAAAATTCCATTTCTTCTTTCCTGGCACAGAGGAAAAACCCAACTATTTTCACATTTTTAAACCATCTAGAAACCTTAAACCTTTTCACACATCAAAGGGCTTTCAGCCTGTTTAAGGAAGGTCTCTAGCAGCTCTGTGGATCGTTTGAAGTCCCTGAAACACCAGCTCGCTGGGCCATTGCGGAGACAGGGGAGGGAACCAGGTGCTTGAGGAGAAGCAAGACCCAGTGGCAATCTCTCAAACAGATTTTTTTTTTTCAATGGGTTGCAGGTGCCTCTTGGCTTCTGTCCCTTGCAAAGGGTCAGCCCCAGCTCTCTCCATCACTCTGCCCCCGAGCAAGAAGGGATCGTGCTCTACAATTTGGGAGCGCAGCCCTTCTACCCTGCTTGGACTGTTTTGCAATCCTCAGTGTTTTGCTTAAAGCCGCTGTTTCTGGCTTCACACGGAAAACACGAGGCTAGTGGCACCCAGAGAACAAGGCAGAGCAGTGCCCAGCACTGCTTGTTGAAAACAGGATGAGAGATGAAAAAGAAACCTGGGCAAACACCATGGAAGATGGGAAAGCATTGCAGAGGGGTGCTGCAGCCCACCAAGCGCTGCTGGAAAGTCCAGGCACCCCAGGGAAGCCAACTTCCCCCCCTCTGGAGGTTTTCTACTGCTTTGCTAGAGAGTCCCAAGCAGCCAGGGACCAACGTGAGCCACGAAGAAGCCAACCTAGAGATGTCCTCCCTCTGCACCTCGCTCCGCACCGCCCCAGAGGCCCAAGGCTCGCGGACAAAGCAGTTCCCAGCACATCACCCAGGGCTGTTGGGCAGGAGCGCCGCCGACGGAGCAGCAACCTCTGCGCAGAGACATGGCGGAGGCTGGCATGGGTGGTGGTGTTAGTCACGGCACAGACTGTGCCAGCACCCACCTCCTCTCGAGCACAAGCGCTGCCTTCCCCCTCCTACTCAGCCTCTGCCCAGCCTATAGCTGCTGCGGAACCGACTCCTTACGAGTCAGGAAACAGCTCACGGCCATCGAGGGCCAGCAGCCACCCTTCCTGTTGTCAAAAGGCATCACCCCGGCCAGGTAACGCAGCCGCCGCCTGAAGATCCGCCGCCGTAACTTGTATTTCGCTCCCTGGCTCGTGTCTGTGCGTGGTTTGATGGCTTGGGTCAGGCGTTGGCACCCGCCAGCGATGGGCGCCACCGGGACAAGCTGCCACGCTCATGTGAGCGCGAGGCCACCAGTGCCCCGCTCGGTTCTTGCTTCAGCGTTGCTGCGGTGCCCTGCCGTGTGCCCGGGCAGAGATGGGGAGATGCAGCACCGTAACACAGGAGAAGATGAGCGTTGCCCCCAAATAAACCATGCAGTTACAGACAAGGAGGGCAGAAGATGTGCAGAGACCAGGGAAGGCAAGAGTAGGTCTGCATGGTGCCTCTGTTCCTGCCTCAACACCCTCCTACAGCCCCAAAAATGCCTCTTTAAAGCCCAGCAGAGTTGGGAGAAGTTATTAGCAGGTGCCCCAAGGTGGGGAACCAGCAGGGGACAGGGTCAGCCTGCCCTGGCACCAAGCATGGGTGCTCTGGAGCAGCACCCATGGGAAAGCGATGGGGGCCCAGGACATCTCTTGCTGCCCTCTGCTGGGATGCTCCATGGAGAGCAGACAGGGGACGAGGAGAATCCTCACCAGAGCAGGTCTATCAGAGGTGAAACCACCCCACTCTTACTTCCACCCACCGTTCTCCAAAGATCAGCCACAGCACCCCATGTGCAGACAAGGTTCCTTCCCTCCCCAGCATGTGGGGACCTCAGCACCAGCTGGATCAGGGCCGTGTTTCTGCTGCCAAGTTTCCTCTTGCTCAAACTTTTGGCCTCCGCTTTCCAGGATACAGCCCCCACCGCTGCCCGTTTGTTCTTAATCG